ACGGTGACGTATAACGACAACGGCGAGATCAGACCTCTCTTTTATAGGTTATCCCTGAGTGAAATGGTCGTCCCCTATGCAGAGACTATTGCACCTCACGCTCGAAAGGTACGAGTTCCGCGAATACATTGGACAATAGACTGATCGTCAATTGTAGTTTGCATTTGACGTTGGTGAGTACGGGATGGGGACACAAGCGAATGACTTGACGCTTGGTTGTGACTGTCTTGGTACTATTCACTATATGGTAGGAGTGAAGCTGTCCTCTTATAGGACTCCCTGCTAATCTTACCTAGCCGGGTAGTTTCATGAGCCATTCTGGAGAGCCAGTCACGATTAACCATGCAATTTGCATTCATGAAGAAGAGTATGCAATCATCTGATGCGCTTCATCTTCCCCCTGACGAGATTTTTATAGTGATGGAATTTTGTGGACGCATACCGAGTTTCGTCCAGGAGGTCGCTCTCGTTCAGTTCGTTCTCGTAGACTGGTCATCTCCATGGTCGCTAACCTGGCAAACTATGAATATGCTTGGTATTACTACTTTGGACAAGATGGTGAGAGGAAGTCATTGAGGGCACTTCATCTTCTAATGCCGTATAGGATCAATATCATTCGCTATTCGCTTGACTGGGATACTCAATGTCTATGTTCTCGCTCCTGGAGAGTCGTCGGGATAACCTATAAAAGAGAGGTCTGATCTCGCCGTTGTCGTTATACGTCACCGTAGAGATTACAATCCCTTCACGGCTGCTGTAGGCTATTTTGCTTTAGTTCCAGACATTCTGCTATAACTCAAAGTCAGTTACCAATATGCATTTTCCATTTTTGCCATTCCAAGACATGACCGTCGACCTTGAAGCTGGGGCCTTCTGGCTGTATGATATGAAGAGGCTTTATATCGTTGCGAAGCTTTATTCCACTGATATCCGGGAGATACTCAAAGCTCTTCGTTGGTGGCCGAATACGTTCTCGACCACAAGACTTAAAATCGTCCTGTTCCAGATCACGTGGTTTGGTGGCCGGCACAGAAGGTGCGCCACCGGGCTTCGTCCTATGAGCGGCAAAGTCGATGTGGACAACCTCGAATGTGTTCGAATCGAGTACTGGAGAGAAATCGAGAGGATCCGCGTAAAAATTATCGTGGGGCTTATATCTTGCAAACAACAGGCATTGCTGGAGCCTTTTATGACTTGGGAATCTATCATCATATCCTA